TATTTTAACTCAATTTAGTTGTCTTTATCACGAAGAACGAAACGAAACGCCCAACTGTGCTAGGTATAGAGATTATGCAAACTGTAAAGTCTTTACTGTACCTGCGGCGTTTCAGCCAGACGATTTTAGCCATCCTCACGGTTCGTCCTGAAGGTTAAAATAGTATCCAACATCGGTAGTTTTAACAAACACCTTACAAGCTATTAATTCATTTGTTCAAAATCAGCGAAAAGTCATGTTATCAAAAATATACATTTACGAAAATATATACATTTATTTTCGTGATATAAATCAGTTTTGTATGCTTTTCTCCACTGAAGTAGTTGGATGTTTTCTTTGATCTCTCAGAGAAACTTAAACAAATAACCGTCAACTTTACATTGAGTTAAAGGAATGTATACCAACTGAAATATATTTACGGGTAACTACCATTCAATAAAACAGTATTTTAACCTGAATCACAGGCATTGCTAGTTCAGAGTGTAGAAAACCGTGTGCAAGTTAATGAAAGCTGTAGAGTACCAATCGAAGTCAAACTAAGATATTTTACGATGGAAACGTAGTAGCATTCAATGCTTATCAATACTACTTTGGAAGAAGACTGTTCTGCTTTCAGAACATACATCTTCAAAAGTAAACAATAAATTAAATTAAAAGATAAATCAAAATGAAGAACGGCAATGCCTCGTTGGTCAAAGTAAATTATCTAGCAAATCTCATGTTGTCTTCTCAACACTTCCTTCTCCTATAAGATACCGAAACAACTTCCTTCCTCAACTAGAAACTTTGAACATACCTATATTGTTCAACATCACCATCAAGACCACAGATCTTTCAGTATCACAGAAATGCAGCTTCATTCAGCTGCAACAACCTGGCACCGTAACTTTACCGTTTACATAAAATACATTAAACTAATGCCACTTTCAGACCAGCAGTCTCTAACCTTGCTTTTTTTCACGCAAATTTCGAAACTGACCCTCAAATGGAAGAAACCCATCATACATCAAAATTTTCCAAAAAATTCAGCAAGAAGCTTAGATAAATTAAGAAAGGCATAAGCAGCACTATGGTCAGCTACAAAGTTTCAGATCTATTTATAAATATTCCTATTAACGTTATTAACAGAAAAATCGGTAAACTTTCCTTGATAAGTAATTCACTTAAATAATGAAATATCTCTCGGCTAATTATATCATAAAGATAAAATCTTTTTAGCGTTAGTATTAGCGAACTATTTGTTAATCGATAGTGGATGCTTCAGAAAAAACCAAGCGCACACGCCACTTTACCATATCTTACCCGAAAGTTACATTGAACACTAAAAACGTGGTCCGGGCACAAATCAGACCTATTTCCAAGGGGTTTCAAATAATATATCGATGAAAATAATGGTATTACATCATATCAAAAGGCTAAATATCCAGTTAACCTTAACGCTGAGTTAACATTATTTCAAACAAAATATCTCTAGTCTTGAAGTTTTCATAACTTCACTGTCTTCTTCACATCTTCATTAACATTAACCGCTTCTCACTACGGGTCGGGGAGGCAAACGCGGAAGACAGAATTTCCAACCTTGCCGATCATGTACCAGAGTCAGAGTTTCGGCAGAAGACAACTGGAGTCTAAAGCAAACTATTTCCATACACTTGCACGAGGTTAATCTTGACTGTCTCCTGGACCTTCTGCCGGTCGGCTGGGCAACAAATAAATGCTTCGCCCTCCCTTCTGGAGGTACTCCAAACAATGGCATAGATCATCCTATCTGTGAATTCTCAATCTAAAAAAGCACCGGCTGTACATCAGGGCTCTCGCGAATATCTGTATTTCCGATCATATCGAGACGCGTAAGGCCAGTTACTTGTCTCAGAAAACTCATTTCAGCCGCTTTTAAACGGGATCGAAGTTTTCGCGATTCATGACAGTAGGTAACCATGGGGATAAAGATCGACTTGAATACCGAGAGCTTAGTTTTCAGACTCAGGGCTGTTTTAGTCACAGTAGTTCGGGAGAGTTCTGGCAGAACGCTACTGACTACTACAATTCGTTTTCTACATCAGAAAATAGACACTGAGGTGCTTGAACTTCTGCACTTGCTCCACTGCTTCTCTATTTATCAGAAGAGAGCAACGGGCAAGAGAACAAAAAATCACCAGGCTTTGAATGCGTTCACAGGCATATCGGTTACGTCGCACTCGGTTAAGAGCTTTTCCTGGAGTGCTGCAGATGAGTTTCAGAAGATACTAATAAAACAAGGTCGTCTTCAAAGAGCAACCTTCTCGTCACCACATCCCTTACACCGATACTCTCATCGCCTTGGCAGCTCCTGACTATTCTATCCGTGTACAACACAAATAAGATAGGGGACAGGACGCAGCCTTGGTGGAGACCGGTGCCAACACTGAAAGGCTTCGACTTAACGTCATTTACTCTGACATACCAGCTGGTTTCAGCATACAGTGATTGGATGACCCTTAGCAGCTGGCCATCTATCCCGTATGCTGGAATATATGACCACTGACTGTGGCGTGGGATCCCGGTGATTGGCTTTCATAGATCAACAAAGCACATGTTCACCGGATGGGCGAACTCCAATGATTTTCTAATAATCTGACTAGGGCGAATATCCCGGTCAGATGTGCTCTAGACGGGGCGGAAGTTACACTGCTCTTCTTGTATCTCGCAATCAGTTATTCGGCGGCATCTCCTTTCTAGCACCTTTAAGTAGATTCAATAATGTAACGCCCTGATAACTGGAGCGCCCACTGCACTCGCCAGTCCGCTTCAGTCTTCTCACTAGCCATTGCAGTTCGACAGAAACGTGTAAGCCAGCGCGTGTCTTGTTCGCTAAAACGCTTTGAGCATTTCAGGGCGGATTTCATCAATTCCAGCAACCGTACCATCTTTAAGCTTTCACAGCTTGTAAATTCATCTACAGAAATAGAAATATCCGTTT